CCCGCATTAGTCGGCCAAGTTTCCAAATACCGCCCAGCAAAGATTGGCTTTGAAAAGCGCCCCAAAAAAAGCGAGTTTCTGTTGGAAGCAACTTTTTTTTGTTAATGCAGTAGTTTTGAGTATTTGCCAGTAAATGGAAACTATTAAACATCAATTTGCGCATTGAATGTCCGCACGGAAAATAATTACAACAGAGGCGGAAACTTTATATCCGGCGATTTTCGTTTAATCGAACGAATTGATGGGGCCAAATAAAATAAAAACGCCAGCGGAAAATATTTTTTTCTTCACCTTTCGGTTAATAAAATTCGTTCTCATCATTTGGCAACGAACCCCAATATTTACCTGCTGTATTAATAATTCCAGGTATCAAAACATAACCATTTTCAATATTGTTTTTCAACGTGCGCCGCTAATCGGAAATTCAGCCAATCGTGACAAAAACCACGTTTTGTAATGCCGTAATTATTATTTGGTATTTTTAATCGTTTTTCGCTAATGAATTCTCTAGGGGGTTTTATGGCAAACATGACTTGTACAAGCATGGTATTTTGCCGTTTTTCCTTCCCGCAGATAATTTACTTTGTTTATTGATTTTTCCAATCAAAAAATGCCCCTTCGTCCGTTTTCCTTTTAAACACGATGAATGGCTGAACCGGGATTAATGAAAGGCGTTAGAGAAGGATTTAATTAAGGCTCTTCATTGTTTCCGTAAAACTCTCAAAGGGTTAAGTCTTGTTGGACACCGTTTACTTAATATCTTAGTTTAATTCACTGTCAGCCCCCGGGAAAAGTTTAATTTGTTTGCAAAATCGAATTTTTTCACTTTGCGCTATAATTACACTTTGTCGCACCGATTTAGGCAAATTCAAATCGTCAACGAACTAACTGGAAAATTGCTTTTTCAACAACAAACTCTCACTCTCATTGACTATTTGCCAAATTATCTATTTCCGGAAAAAGGGATTTGTTGAAAACATTTTCAGGAATTCGCATTAACAATACATTTTGGAATATTTTGATCAACTTGGCAATGTCGCAAAGGCCGCCAGCCTAAATATTGTGGCCAAACGTTACTAATTTTGGGGTATTTTCAAGGTTTACCACGATTTGAGTGGCAGCATTTCTTTTCAAGTTAGAAATTGCTAATTGACCCCAAAGAGGAAAATATAGCTATCGAAATGCCCTGTCGAAAACGTCCTAATGATTTTCCGGACAACTTCAACGGTTTTTGAGATATTCGCCCTTAAATGTCAGCGCTCTATCAATATTTGAAAATTTTACTTGTATCTATTTAGAGGTTAGAAATCGCTGATCGAGACCCAGAGAAAAAATATAGTTTTTGAGATGCTCTAGCAAAAGGGTCCTAATGATTTTTTGGATAAGTTCAGCGGTTCTTGAGTTATTCGCTTTTAAATGTCAGCGGCCATCCATCATTTGAAAATTTCACTTCTATCTTTTTAGAGGTTAGGAATTTTTTGAGAAAACCCAATTGAGCTCTTGAGAACCTCTAGCGAAAAGGTGTTTAGAAGTTCTAAAATATTTTCAAGCGTTTTTGTCGTAAAAATTAAATGTTCAAAAATTGCTCAAATTTCGGCTGTATCTCTTTAGAGGTTATACATTTCTGACAAAACTTAACGTAGCCAATATAGCCCTCACGAAGCCCTTTCGAAAAGACTCTGATGATTTTCTGGATAACTTCAATGGTTCTTGAGATACTCGCTTTTGATGTCTGTTTTTTTAAACAATTGCGATTTTTGCCTTTACGTGATTAACGATTAGGAATGTCAGAAAAAACGTAAATAGGAAAAGAAAGTACTCTGAACCAAAACTCCAACGAAAAGTTCTTTTTTAGCTGTTTTTAAGCGTCTCCGAGATATAACCACTTAAACTGCCTCACCCCCTTAAAATTTGACTTTTTTTACTTCTTTAGAGGTAAGAAAATACTCACAAAATCTCATAAAACGGCGATAGCTCTCATGAAGCTCTATCGTGAAGCTCTAATGATTTTCTACATAACTTTTGGGTCCTCAAAACAATTGAGGATTTTGCCTCTTTCTCTTTAAACGTTAGGAATTTGCGCAAAAGCTGAAACAGGAAAAAAATACTCGAAACACCTCAACGAAAAGTTCTGAACCTTTTTTAGATGTTTCTTACCGTTTCCGACATATAACCACTCAAACTGCCTCACTCCCTTAAAATTTTACTTTTATCCTTCTATCTCTTCAGAGGTTAGGAATTTCTGTAGACATCCAATTGGGAAAGCGGGCACCTGAGTCGTTAAACCGAAAAGGTAAAGTTTTGAGAAATTTTCAATCCTTCCGTGATGGACAAAATGTTCAAAAAATCGTCAATTTTTGACCCTGCCTCTTTAGAGGTTAGAAATTTGTCACAACATCTCATGAAACGACGATAGCTCTCATGAAGCTCTAATGATTTTCTAGATAACTTCAATGGTTCTTGAGATACTTGCTTTTAACTGTCTGTTTTTTTAAACAATTGAGAATTTTGCCTTTTCCTCATTAAATATTAGGAATTCCTCGAAAAACTTAAACAGGAAAAGACAGTTCTCGAAACACTCTAACGAACAGGTGTATAAGTTTTTTAGATATTTTTAACCGTTTTGGATATATAAGCACTTAAATTGCCACAGACCCTTAAAATTTGACTTTTATCCTTCTATCTCTTTAGAGGTTAGGCATTTATATAGACATCCAATTGGGAAAAGCGAGCCCCTGAGTCGTTCTACCTAAAAGGTTTTATAGAGTTGAGAAATTTTCAATCCTTTGCATGATATCAGTAAAACGTTAAAAAATTCGTCAAATTTTGGCCCTATCTTTTTGAAGGTTAAACGTTTTGTTTGACCCCAATGAGCAAATAAATGCTCTTAAAATGTTTTATCCTTAAGCTTCTCAGCGTTCATCCGCTAGTTTTGATCGTTTCCAAGATAAACTGTTTGAATCATTTACATCTTCGTATTTTTGCGCCTAGCCCTTCAAAGGTTAGGAATTTTGAACATATTCAATCAGATAAATGTGGTTCGTCAGAAAAAGTGTTAAGAAATATTCAATGAGTTTAAAATGTTCAAAATAGAAAAACATGTTCAATAATTCGTGAAACTTTGAGACGATTTTTGGAGGATAGGAATTTTGATTCGGGTGGTAGAAAAAAGTGGTGCTGGAAGCCATCCACCAGCTGTTTGTGTACAAAATGTAAGTCATTTCCTTGATATAAAGTTTGAAGCCTTACTTTTGCTTCCATCTGTTTAGAAGTTAAAAATTTCACATCTTTTAATAAAAAAAAAAAATTTTGGAACCAAATATTCTGTAGGGTTGTCTCTTTTGAGTCTGAGCAGTGAAGATTAATGACGCTAATGGTGAATATACATTTGAAGATATAAATGACGGGCCGAAGCTGTGTATCTTCAGATACGCACCAACGCATTATTCGTCTACCCAATGAGAGGTACCATCCTGCTGGCCTTGGGGCGATAGGCAATTGTTTAGTTCAAGGCCACCCGGTTTAGGAATGTCCGATTCGCGGTTCCAATCGCTGTAAAGACTTCCGACCTTGAATCCGAAATAACTGCGTGCGTCTGGTCCCGGCCATATATCTACTTCTTCTTCGTCTTCTTTTATTTCCAGCACATTTTGTCCGCTTCTCCGCTCTTCTGCTGCCTCTGCAACCAGATAAGATCGGTATAGTATCGACCCGGTGAGACTGTGCGTTCTTCATTGCGGTCAGCAGGTGTTTGACGGGTTATTCATAACAATGTCTTCAGTTGTGCCAACTCGAGGGGTGGTCGGCGAATCGACCGAAATGTCGATCCTGATTAATCGATTTCTTCGATACGGTCCCAATTAGTCAATGGCCAATTGTTTCGTTGATATGAAGAAGTTAATTTGCATTGTCAAGGCGGCGCAGCCCATTTTCCAGCTGGTCGATATTCGGCTTTATTTCATTGCTTTTCTTCGTTGATGCACGTTTTTTATTCGTATATATATTTATCTTCTACCTGAACTGTTTCTTCACTGTTTCCTCGGCATTTCCAAAAATTTTCTCTTTTAGAATCGTGGTTTAGACAATAAATTAATTTAAAAGTGCTTTTCTGTGTTTTTCATTTTTATTTCATTTGAAATCACGAGTGTAACTTCAAAATTTTGACACAAATTCTATTCCGAGAAACAACCCATACTACGCTCCTACTCAATAGCGCCGTTAACGCGATAATTTTCAATTGCTGGTGAGAGATGAGGCCCCTTTGGACCCTGTGGTTTTAAATTGTCATAACTTTTTAGCTTAGATTAGTTAGTGATTTTTTGAGACAAAAATTTTATTCCTTGCTCTTTTCTGCACAAAAAAGGTTTCTTAGTAGAACCACCTCAAGCGGCACCTTTCGATGATATGAGCACTTACTTCGCTCCTTGCAAATTTGCATGAAAAACCGACGTTGAGCCACATAAACCCCATTATCTGGTAAACGGCGCTCTAAGCGGGTTTTTCCAAAAGCGCCTTTACTGCATAGAAAACCCCAGAAAATCAACGATTTTTGGCGAAAATCAAATCGAACCGAACATAAAAAAGTTACGTCCGTTTTAATGATGGCAACCGCAATTAAATGCCCCTAAATCCTTCAGAAAACTCACCAGGAAAACAGTTGCCGAATGTGCTTCGCACTCAGCTACTTTATATGGGAACCGTCATTTATCATACTTGAAACATCTTAAGTGAATTTTTTGAGCCAAAGCATAACAATAGCTGATTTATCATCGCAAATGAAAGTAGGTTAGCAAGTAAAGACAACCGCGAAATCTCCATAAATACACGCTATGATTAGCAGGAAACTGAACTTCGCACATGTAGGGGGCAATTATCGTTCGTTTCCCTATCACTTTTGCACCTTTTAAGCCTACAATTGTTTACGGGCAAATTCACGTCTTAATTACGACTAGCTGGATGGAAGAGGAGGAATTTGCAAGGAAATATCAAAGCAAACTTACCGTTTCACCAAAGTGTTCGGGCTCCTTCATACCATCTCTATTTTCGATGGTCTCTCCTGCAAAGAAAACCACATTTAAGACAAAAACGCCATATTTCTGCTGTTGCTGGCGCATATTCTAGATCCGAAATGTTTCAAATGCAATATTCCAAGCGAGTTAAGTTTATCAAAATTCATCGCACACCGGAGCCACAAAAGCTGCCACTGAATAGCAATATAGACGGTTTTATGGATGGCGTTTTATGCAGGATTTTTAATCGACAGCAGAAGGAACTTCCGGATTAAATTCGGAAATCGCCAGGCTTTTTGAAGCATTTCGGCTTCATTGTCTATCGGATTAGTGAGTAATTCGGGGCGATTTCAGATGCACCTTTAACGAGCCTGAAGCCAGTGGATTCCACCGTCTGATTGAACTTCAGTGGAACTGATTTGAATAATATGTCCGTTAGTGGCTTCTTGCGATGGTCATTCTCGACTTTGTCCGCAAGTATTGCAGGTTCAACGACGACATCAATCCTATGGGGCTTCAGTACGTTGAAGTGTTGAAAATCCGATTATGTTGGATTCAACAGACGCCCAACAGGGTTTCTATTTAAATAACGTACACGTTTTTTACGATTTAAATTGTGGTCACATTAACTGAAACTAAGCGACAAACAGGTTTCCTCTCACACACCGCTGGACTGTTTTAATCGGAAAACAGTCTGCGCTGGATGGATTCCAAGTTGAAGCCATCGAGCGACAAAACAATCAAAAGACGTCTTAACAGGCGCTTGGAAAATAGTCCTTGCGACTAGCAAGAAATGTTCAACATTTTCCCATACTTGAAGCTTTGAAAGGTTCAGAAACTCTCTAACAGAGCAACGTCTCTAAAAGAGCAAACCGTTGCCTAAATGTTCCAGTTCTCTAACAGCAATTAACTGATTAAATTCCGAATTAGCAAGGAAAAAAGTGGAATTAAAAAACTTTCGAAAATGTTCCTTTGGAATATAATTGCCAATTTTTTTTTGACTTGGAGCCTAAAAATGTTTGAAGCTCTTTAATCTAAAGTGCCCTCTCGATTAGTTGGACATTTTCAACTAATTCCAGTAAGCGAACTTTCGGGGTTCCTTCGAGGTGAACCGCCATCTAAACTTCCAGTTTTTGCTGAAAATCTCGTTTTCTAAACAAAACTTTTGGATGGTTCCAAGAAAACAAATCTATGGACTTTCATTAAAAATTATTCTATTGACACCAGTAATGTTCAACTGATACATATAATCAAAGCTTCTGAAACAATTCCAAACAAATTGTCTCCGGCCCTTGGGGCGAATTAAGAGCAACAAAAACCAAAAACAGCGACGTCTGAAATTGAGATTAAAACGTTCGAAAACCAAAAACAGGAACCTACATTCTTGTTAGGCTAAACGATAGTTTTCGGTGCTTTAGGGATTTATATGTCCAAGGGCGAAAAACCTTGACAAAATGCTTAACTTCCTGTTTTTTTACCAGAAAACGCTTTTAGAACCAAACACCGAAAGTCTGCACAGTTTTTTGAAATACACCGTACAACTAGCCTGTTATTTCCACCTTCTGCTCTCTTTGGACTCTTTCAGGATTCTTGGGTAAACAGTGACAGTTTATTTACGTTAAAAACGTCGCACTAAAAATACGTTTAAACCGAAATTCCTTCTCAAATGTTGAAAAAAAACTTTGTTTTACTGTTCTAAGCCATTGTTAACCGCATT